TCCTTTGCAGCCAGGGGTGTCTTGGGTGGAATCTGGGGAAAGAAGAAAAAAAAAGCTTTTCCGTTTTTTCCCTTCTTTTCCTCTTTTCTCCTCCCACCGTCCTTTTGTCTGTGTGTGCGTGTGTGTGCCTCTCCTGATCTTCTCGTCACCTCACCACCCTTTTCACTGGGACCGGCCCTACTTTCCTATATAGAGCCTCCCCCAAACCATACGCCCTCCCCCTTCTTCATCATGTCGGCCGCCACCACCGTCCCGCTGTCTCTGCACAAGACACCACAGCCTAGATACTCTCCCGCTGTCTCGGGAAACACCTCGCCTACTGAAGGCTCTCGCAACGCCTCCCCTCACCCCTCCACTTGCTCCTCCCAGAACTCCCGGTCCAGCAGTCGCCGTCGGGAGTCGTTCGGTTCCATTAAGGAAGACGTGGATGGTATGTATATCAATGGACGCGCAAGGATGGTGTCATGGCAAATCACTAACACGTCATAGGCATTGCCCAGTCCTTCGTCGATACCCACATCGAACAGTCCCCTCAAGAGACCACCAAGCGCAGCCCTATTGAGATGCAGCCCGACTTTTGCTGCCCATGCGGTGGTTTCCTCGGCTGGAAGCAGATCCGGCTGGGTGGCAAGAGTTTGAGTCGGAGCTACAGCGATCTCCGCAGCCTGGGGAACTTGCATGCGCGCGGCTGGGCCTGGGATACGCCCGATGTCGCTCCGCCTAGCAAGCCGGCGCCAGTGGAGGAGCAGAAACTGCAGGTGCCGGAAGTGAAAGAAGTGGAAGTGGAGCAGAAGCCGCCTGCAGGCACCTCCGCTTTGGAACGGCTTCCGCCGGAGGTTCTTGACCATCTTATCTCCATGTTGGCATTGGACGTGCCCCCTAATGGATATACTCCCCGTAATGTGGATCTGATCTCGTGCCTGCTTACCTCAAAGACATTGCACGCCGCCACCCTCAGTGTGTTGTACCGGAACATGACATTCCCCCACTCTATTATCTTCTCCAAGGCTCTCAACCACATCTCTCGCTATCCCGCACTGGGCACGCTGGTTCGCCGCCTTGACTTTTCACACTTCACGTCGGTTGGATTGGGTCGCACCAAGCAGATGAACGCTGAGATTCAGAATCTTACCGCCAAGACGCTTTTGCAATGCCTGGAGCTGCTGCCCAACCTCAAAGAATGCTTGCTGCAGGAACATGTCGAGGGCGATATCAGCTTGGATGTGCTTCGGAAGCTGTTCACCGGTCTTCCGAACCTGTCCGCCGTCGACTTCTGCGGCTGCTCTTCCCAATCCTTCTCCACCCTCTTCTTGGAGGCCTTGATCACCGGCCCTGGTGTCCCCTTGACCCTGCCGAACCTGCGACGGGTTTCCCTGCATGAATGTAGCAGTCTTCCCGCGGCTGCTTTCGAGATCCTTCTGCCGCGCCTGGTTAACCTCACTCACCTCGATGTCACCCACACGCAGATCACCGAGGATGCGTTGTTCTCTATTCCGGAGACCGCGAAGATCACTCATCTCAGCATCTCCCGGTGCTCTCGCCTGCGGGGCTCTCGAGTTGTCGAGTTTCTGTCGACCCACCCAGCGGTCTGCGACTCGCTGGTGTTCTTGAACCTGCTAACTGACCCCACCCGGTCCCGGCTCCTTGAGGAGGAGGATGTGCAGGCACTTCTCCCTCGGTTGCCTTCTACCCTTCGTTCGCTCAACCTTGGAGGGGCAAAGGTGACCTCCGCCCATACTCAGGCCTTGTTGCCCTTGACGAAGCATTTGGAGGAGCTGGGTCTGAGCTCGTGCGAGCTCAATGGCCAGGATTTGAACACATTCTTTGTGCCACCCAAGTCGGTTGATGGAGAGCCGATCACTCCCTGGGTTCCATCCACGCTGTGCTACCTGGACCTGAACAAGGCCAATCAGCTGACGATCGGCACTATTTTCAACCCCAATGCGTGCGTTATTCTCTCGCCGCAGAGCTACCCGCTGCAGGTCATCGAGTTTAGCGACAAGCTCATCGCACCTCTGCGCGAGCGGGCGCGCAACACCCGCACCTCGCCGGACTGGACGGTGCGCGAGCTGGGCCGTCGGGGATGGTACGTGCGGGACCCGGCCTCTATGCCGGAGGTTATGCTCGACGACGGAGCGCGCTCCTGGAAGATGGGCGCCCGTTGGTGGGGCATGCGGAAGATTCCGGTGGCCGTGGGCGACGTAGGCGGGCTCTACGGGCACTACATGTTCAAGAAATGAGCATGTCTTTGATTTATACCCTTGCTATCTTCTTTTTTCATCATTGTGTATGGCGCATCATTGGCCGGCGTTTTGATTTGGGCCACTGCAACGGAACGCGCCAAAAGTGTGGTTCTGACGACATTGTTTTGTTCTGCATAGCGGGAGCGAGTTTCAGCGTTGGGAGAGCTTGACGGTTGGCTTGGCTTGCTGCTGCGCTTATGATACCTTGCTGTTGGTCGGGTTACGGTTTGTTACTTAGGAAATTGATAGTTATAGAATCTCATCTTAGCATGCAGCTTCCTGTAGATGTGGAGAGTTGAGCGTAGGGAATAACCCAGCAAAGTAGTCAACAGCAAAAAAAGAACCAGTAATTTCGATTTCAAGCACCAATGTTCGATCAAATTATCTGCCTACACTAAGTAAGCGTCGCAACCAACCTCTCCCCAAGCCCCCGAATACTCTCCTCAAACTCCCACGTACTCCCCGCCTTCCAATCCGCCCTATTCCCAGGAACCGCCTCGCCCCCAACAAACCCAATATACAGGACATCATCACTCACATGCCCATTATCCCCACTAATCCCATCACCGGGGAAACACAACTTCGCCAACGCAATCGACGCCTCCCCAGTCCAGCTCCCACCCGCCGTATCTCCCCAGACCCCATAGAACTAAACCCTCATCAGCAACTTACATCCTTTTCTTCCCTTCTCCAAAGGGGAAAACAACCCCCTCCTCCGGAGGGAGGTATATACTTACAAGTTGATCCCCACAAACAACCACCATAACACTCAACGGCCACATCCCATCACGCTGGGGATCATAATCCGTATTTCCAAACACAACATAGGGATGTATATTAGCGTCGAGATCCGGGATGCCGTACTGGGATGACACAATGTCTTTGAAGCTCGTTTGGTCTTGGATTGATTCGTCGTAGCCGCAGTTACCCCCGTGTGAGTTTGCTCCGTCGCAGTCGATGTCCATGTTGTCGTATCGACCGCCTAGCGTTGGGCTGTGTAGGAAGATGGACCGGTTGGACAGGTCGCTGCAGTAGGTGAATGTGCTGTCTGTGGGGTTTTGGCCGTCGTGGAAGCCGGTCGCGAGGGGGTGGGTGCAGGGTTTGGACTTTCGGTTCTTTGCTTTAGTGGTGGGTATAGGGGGAGGGTGAGGGGAGGGGAGGAGAGGGCAGACCTTGTGCTTGTTGTAGAGGGCGGAGAGGTTGGGAGGGATGGAGTAGGCGGTTGTTAGGAGGGGGGCGGTGGTGGATAGGAGGAGGAGGGTGGTGAGGAGGTGCATTGTGGTGGTGGGGATGGTGGTTATTGGGTTTGGTGATGTTGGTTCTGGTCGGGGAGGTGAAGATACTAATTAGGTAGGTGTGTAGGGGTCTGTATCTCGTTATGTGGGATAGGTGTTGTTGTTTAGTGCCCTAATAGATGCCGTCATTAGGTGTATATGACTCGAAGCGAAAGTCAATCTGTGTAACTATTACAATTTTTTCACTGGATGTTTGTTTTAGGGATACGGTGGTTACTATTGCGAATGGTTTGAGATCAGCTATTATGGTAGAATTTCTATATTCGGCAGCGACGACTATAGCTATCCTATCTATGTGCTTATAGGAGAGAGGTATGATATTCAAGACTCAACGCTATGTCTATGGCAGGAAAAGTATCTCCGGGCATAGAATGCAGGGTTTCACAGAGTAACCCCAAGAATTGGCATAACTGGAATTGGTGGGGTTGCGGAGTTGACATCCGATGAGGAGAGCGAATGGTGTAACTTTAACGAGTGTATATATGTACTTACCATCTATGCTATCGTATGGGGAGCACAAGTTCTGCAGATACTATATATAGTATTGAATGTAGAAAAGCACAGTACATCTATCAATCCAACCATGAGGTATGTAACCAATATGATATCTACTTAAGAGAGCTAGGTACAAATATTTGTAACAGATACAAGACATGCATTAGGACAAGATATTCCCTGATGAGAACGACCTCTACAACAGCCACAGTGGCATCAACTCATCTCCTGTAGGCGGAGAGAAGACCCGCGTTATCAGCACAATTGTGATACCAATCCAGTCACCTGCATGTCTGGGGCATCACCCTTTGATTGGATGGCTCGTGTTGAGGTGGAGGGTGGGGCAGACAGCAGTGGGGCAGTCTGGCCATGAGTGAGAATGACTCATGCTCGATGGCCCCACGAGTAATTACTTGGCGGGTGCAGTTTAGTTGTCTGCCTGCTGTGATCATTTTGTATCATCTCGACTCACAGAGACTCATGATAGACCACGCTGCACTCATGCTGGACTCATGTTGGACTCAGGTTGGTGTATTCTGACGGTGAAGTGAGTCGACCAGCGCAGCACGAAGACATAAAAAAGGCAGTTCTACGTAGTAAAGTAAAGCGTCTATGATACCAATTGAATGAATCTAGTTGAACTTCTGCAACTTCTAATCTGCCATCAACACGATACCACTGCACTACATGCCACTTTCCTCCGGTCCGTAAGCACCAGCCCAATTCCGACTAGCTTAGCACCAGAGCACGATGAAGACACTCCCGATCGCTGACATGCTCCGCATTCTGAGGCGCCTGGAAAGATGAAAATGGAAGAACCTTTCCAGGCTTGCGGGCCGACATCATCTGAGTCGCTCGCTCGTGTTCATAGTGTCTTTTCATCTCCACTTGGATAGAGCTAACGAAGATACTTCCTAGACTACAATTTCCTCCTTCAGTGGTGTTGGAATGAAGAAGATGGCTCAGAATGACGAGGGTACATAGATGGAATACTGCGCTGGTTGTTTTGTCAAGATGTACATACTACACCAAACTTCTTTCTATCATTATTTCAGAGTATACTACAATTGAGTCTTCGAAAGATGGATAAAACCCACCCAACTAAGACATCCCCCAAACGCACCCGCCCCACCCGCCGCACTAAACCCAAAGCGCAACCCGCCTCCTCAATCCGCAGCGGCCTTATAAACCGGGCCTCACCCCGACCAACTTCATCTTCTCCCTCCCCTTCTCATCCTCCATCGCCTCGGCGAAAGCGTCTTCTTCTTCCCTCTCTTCGCACCGGCTCTCCCGGGTCCAAGGACCCGGCCTCAAGTATAGAAGAATGGTTGTCACTGCAGTTACCAGCATGCACGCCATCCGCCAGACCTTCGCGTTTATCTGCGCAAAGCCAGACCTCTCCGCCGCCGCCGTATAATAGTTCCCATTTCTACCAGGATCTCCCCCAATACCCTGACTCATTCTACCTCCATCCCGAATACTATAACAATCCTACTTTCGATCTCTCGTCAGCGGCCTTTCCTCCCGTTGACCCTACTTCCCTGTTCTATGACGACTCTCCGCCGGATACTTCCCTCACTGCCGGGTCCAATTCAAATTCAACAATAAATACAGCCTTGTCCAGTCTGAGTGATAGTAGCTATCAAGATCAGATCATTGGCTATCAGGATCCGACATCTTCTCAACATACTTCTTGCGCGACGATACTTCACCCTCATACCCACTCTCTTGTGCCTGTCACTGCTGAACCCGATCTCGACCCGATTGATTCCTTGCTTAGTTCTCCGGAGCTGAGCGAGGAGTTGAATCTGTTGGCTTCGCCTGGTGTGAATTCTCTTCCTGGTATGAAACTCAGTCTTGTTTTGATTGAAAATAGAATGTGACTGACAAGATGAAGAACCTGAAATAGATTTCACACCCATGCCATCCGTCAGCTCCACTACATCCTCTCGAGCAGCCGCTCCTCCCAAAGAAGCCCCGAACCGTGTTAAGAAGCGGGAGCTAAACACCCTTGCTGCGCGACGGTATCGTCAGCGCCGCGTGGATCGGATGAACCAGTTGGAGGAGGAGCTTGAGGCGATCAAGCGCGAGCGGGACGAGTTGAAGATGCGGGTTTCCAAGTTGGAGGGTGAGACGGAGGCGTTGCGAAGTATGGTGAGGAGTCAGAAGTAAAATATAAACAAACTTTTCATCTTCCAAATTGCGGGATTCTTGAACGTAATTAGACACAGAACCAGCAGTGTTGTATCCTCGAATACCCAGATGTGGTATCGCCTGAGATTATCATCATCTTCCTAGCCATGATCGCCACCCCTTGCCAATAACAACCAGACATTTACGCCATCGTACTAAAATAGAATACCCAATCACCCCAACTGCCCCTAGTCAATCCCCCGAACACGGATCATCAGTGCTCGGCTTTATCAGCAGTCTAGAAAAGTGAGATCCCCACTTCCGCACTGATAAGCGGTGATGTGGTGGTGCCACGTCAAACGGTGCCTTGGAGGACAAAGCGTCCAGCCGCAGGGTCGCTTCGATGGGTCAATTGGGCATTGTGTGCGCTTATAGAGTAGTTTTGACTGGAGAGGTAGACGGATAAGGTTTATGAAGGATTGATGGGACACCAGTGGATGCCTTGTAGTGCAATTGAACGCGTAGTTCCTAGCTTTATGCCGGTTTCTTAGGATTTGACAAGTGGAAATTCCTAGCTATCTTGTAGCATACTCTTCCTGTGGACATCTTCCTAACAAGATAGTAATACTAACATACCATACAATAACAAAGAAAAACAAAAATATAAAATATAAAATATTATAAAAAAGTTAAACACACACACCCAACCCGAAACTCCACATCCCTATATAACAGAACCCCAGTAAAACAAATCAGACAACTAATCATAATCACCCCCCAAACCCATCAACATCCCAACTCCTCACCCCGCGATTACTCAAACTCCCCACCGCCGCAATAACAGCCCTGACAAACCTATCCCCATCGACCCGCACATCCCTCTCATGCCAATCTTCCTCTTCTTCTCCTTCCACCTCCCTCCTTCTCCTCCCCATTCTCCTACCTCCTCCCCCATCAGCAGCACCACCACCACCCTTATCATCATCCCCATCCCCATGCAAACTAAAATACCCCACCCCCACCAACCCCGCCAGATTTCTAAACCCCTTATGTTCCAGCCCCTCGGGAAGAACCTCCACCACAGCTGACATCCCAGGCGTTAGAAACATCGCATGCGTAAGACCCGCCCCGTGCACGCCGACTAGTATATCCGTGGACCTGATGACGCGGAGCTGTTCGAGGAGCGAGAGGGAGGCGAAGTCGATGGATTGGATGTGAATTTTTATCTTGGGGTCAGTGTGTAGGGATGTCGAAAGGGAGGAGAGAAGGGATTCAGCATCCACTAGACGGCGGGTAGAGGTGCGGTTGATGAATGTGATTGTGAGTGTGTTGGGGTCTGCTTCGGGGACTGGGGAGAGATCGTAGAAAGATAGGATGCGGGTGATGAAGGTGCGTAGCAAGGGGGAGGAGGTGCATGGGAGGATGGACCAGTCGCCGTGCCAGAGGGGGTTGCTGGCTCCGGGGAGGGGGATGATGAGGTTTGTTGGTGTGAGGGGTGTGGTTTCATCTGTTGTGGTGGTGGTGGTGGTGGACGGTTGGGGAAGGCGGCGGACAGGTTTATGAGCGAAGAGAGACCAGAGGTCGATGAAGGGGCCTGCGTCGGCGGTGTCGACTAGGGTGACGTCGGTGTTGGGGATAGATGAGGGGGCGAAGAGTGGTGTGCTGGTGTTTATGTCTGGGATGGGAGTCATTTGCAGCACGTCGAGTGAGAGAGTCATGGAGAAGATTTCCATGAGCGAGTGCCAGAAGTTTTGGCCACCTTCGCGCTTGGTCAGGATGGTGTAGTTCTGTTTGTCGGGTGGGATGGTAGTGTTGATATTGAGGGTGTTCTTGTGTGGAGGCACGATGCGGATGCCATTGTGGATGACGATCCCGGCTCCAGTGCCGTACCAGTAAAAGTGGAATTCGCGGAGACTGGGCATGCCGTTGGTACGGGGCAGGTCTCTGAGGGTGCAGGGTAAGATGTACTTGGCTTGGGATGGGTCGAAGACAGCCCCGCGGGCGAGGCAGAAAGTGTCGATTCGGTCGCCTGGCTTGGTCTGGGTGTGGAAGCATGTCAAGCTAGCGGGGGAGTCAGGCGTGCAGTACTCTGTTGCGTGGTCGCGGAGGCTCTCCAGGTAGGAGGTTCCGAATAAATTTGTGCAAAGAGGCGGTTGCTCTGGGGCATTGGTGTAGTCTTTTGGAAGGCCAGGGGAAATTCCTTGTACACATGGGGTTGTGTGTGGGGAGAAGAGCGTAACGGAAGATGCATTGCTTGCGTGTATTACGCTCGTAGTATAGAGTAGTGATATTATTGCAAGGAAAGACAAGAGTATTGCGCAAGATCGGAGAAATCTGCGCTGGGTACGAAGAGGTATGTGTATAGCATTCATTGCATTCACAGTCTTAGAGGCACGAAAGACATAGACAGCTTCAGAGACGTCCTGAGACGTGCTTGGTTTCCATACCATCACGACCTTATAAACAACTACACTCTCTATTGTCCACAATGCTCTTTGCACCTACATTCTCCATCAAAACAATACACCCCTGCATCAATACGTCTCATGTCAAGTCTCAGCGCGATCTCTCGAGCTCCGTGCGCAGAAAGCCTCCATTCATAGATCGTCCCAAGCTACCGGAACCCAGTGAAAACCTTTATCAAAAGAAGGTCTATAATCGCCATAATCGCGTTGTTGATGTATACACATTTACCGAGGCCCGTTGCCGCCAGGATGTGTTAGGGCTCTGCGGGCTGATATTCTCCGCTGCCAATCAGACATCTCCGCCGATGACACCTCGTGTTGTGGCGTCCACCGGTTGGCTCAGTCCCCCGCTTTGGCGGTGAGTACAGCAAGGCTGGGGACTATCCATGCTGGCCCAAGACCAAGTCGCTGGGGCCCAAGTGACCGGGGTGATTATTACTCCTTCGATGGCACAGAGCCGCTGTTTTGGCCTGCGATGTTGCCTGGTGCATACGTGTCGGTGGATCTTGGCAAGGCGCTTGAAATAGGGGTGGCATGTATGGTTCGCTGCTTCTTTGCTTCTGTTTTGTTTCTCGAGGGCATAGCGTAGTTCAGTCGCAAGCGTCATAGCGTTCTGGTTGATCTCTACACCGTCTTTCGAGATCGGCTCACCCACTCATACTCAAGAGGTCATAACGATAGCAGGCGCTAATTCCCTATTATACTATGGAAAAGGAAACTAAATTAGAATAGCTGATCTTCCTCTATGGTATCTTGCCAATAATTCACTACCCATCACAACATTTTTGTCTATCAATCAATATTATATGCAGACCACACCTCTTAAGCCCGAAAATTAAAAAAGACATCCCGGCATCGCATTCGGCTCGAACCCATTGCCCAACCAGAGATGGTTGCCGTCCGTCTCGGTCCAACCGACTTCATTCCCCGCCAGAGAGCCAATGACCGCCACGTCCGCCGGGGGAAACGTATACATTGACAGATCGGGATTCTCCCCGACCGGAGCAGATGCCCAGTTACTACTCAGTCAGCACAGTCCAACAACAAAGGGTAAAAACATACTCTAACCACGGGAATGCATCCATCAGGACCTGGTTTGTGTCCACCACGGGATCGGACGCTTGCACGGCTTGCTTAGCCACTCTCATCAGGTCCAAGCTTAACGCCTTGCCTGACGTATACCCCGTATGTTCTATCTCATCCAGACACTTTATTGCCTTCTCAACGACCGTGAAGGTCTGCCTGGCTCGGTCCGGATCTGTTCCCAAGTTAAGCACATCATATAAAAGAGTCAACGTTGCAGATACAAGAAATGAGGCCAAAGCCCCATCATAGCGGATCTCTGGAAAGCGACGGAAATAGACATCATGAGCCAGGTGAATCAAATTCCGGGCTGCAGAAGTCGATGAATTGATACAGGCTTGGAGCTCAGTGCAGCCAGTGGCAAATTGGGCTTCTTGTACCGAGGTGAAGAAGGTTGTGAGCACCAGTGCCGGGCGGGAGAGGAGCATCCGGACGACGTAGTAGCAGAATCCAAGGCTCACGCGTTGAATCTCCTGCCACGGCTCACCAATTGGGACCGTGTCATCGAAGAAGTGCAGGTAACTGGGTAGCGTCGGTGTGACAGCTTGGAGGGCTTGGTCGCATTCAATGCTGATTTGGTTGAGCTTGTCCAGATCTGTGGGGTTTTTTATGCTGGCCGGCGAATATATCTCAATAGAGATGCGATCCGCCAGCTTGGAAATCTCGCCCATGGCTCGGATGAACGCACATTCTTGCATAGGCGCGCAGGTACTGTCGTAAAGATTCTGCGGCAGATCTTCGGGGTATGCTGTGTCAATTTGTCGATCAGAAAGGCTCGACGGACGACCCATATACAGCGAAGATATGCGTTCGCAGAAGAATGTCGTCCAGAAGGTCAAACGCAGCCGATGCACGTTGGGATCGCGACCATCAGTGACCTGGGCCCGGTGCAGGCCTAGTACGAGACATGTGCGGGTGGCATGACCCAGGTAGAGATAAGCATCATTTTGTCGCATTAGTTGTAAAGCGTACATTGACTTGTAATGGATTAGCGAGCTTCATTGGCAGATGTTGGTGACGTACCTTCAACAGCATCAAGTGTACACCCCGGATGCTCGGTTCCTGCAGAAAGATGGGCCCCTCAGACACTCGACTGGAGAAGTAATCGGCCCAGGCCTCGACACTGCTTTCAGATTGCTTCCCCCTCAGATTGGCAATCCGAGCGCCGATAGCCAGCACCATAAATAGGATATCCTGATTTTTGACGCTGTGGTCTCGAACAGGAGTTTCCCACATTTGGTTCCAAGCATCGACAATCTCAGACATGATCAATATGGGTATTTGCGGGTGCATGATGCGGAAATAGGCCTCAATGAACTGGTCACCCAACTCCCTTGGGAGGAACATCTGAGACGGAAATTGAGTCCGCCGCGGATCCGAGTCCCCTGGCCGGGCAAACATGAAGCGCTCCAAACCAAATCGGTGGATGGCATCTGGAATGGAGCAACTACGACGAGCAAGCAGCGGCTCACTAGATGAGCCCTGCTTAATGCGTTGGTAGACCCGATGAATGAAGCAGAAGCCGGAGGAGGGTCCTTCGTGGGTTAACAGAGTCTGTAAAATATAGGGTATGAGAATTACCATAGAACTGGAATGCCCCTGTCTCTGGGTTCTGTACGCCAATGCCAGCGCGGAGCTCGTGATGTCGCTTATATTGCGCCGGGCCATCGCTTAGACTGGTGTGGGACCAGTCACTTGAAGTAGTGGGCGACTCGGTAGTTGGAAGAGGGAGTAAGGTAGCTGGTGGTCGCGGGGCTTCCTTGGTGCGACGGTTCTTTCTCTGGCGGATGCTTCCTGTCCGGTAGAGACATCGTTCTGGATGGCGCGCGCAGGCATTGCACGGCTGCTGGCCATTGCACTTGATCTTGCGGGCCCGGCAGTGTTCACAGGCCCGTGGGACCCGCTCTCGGGGAGGCGGCGTCATTCCCGCTGGCGGAGGTGCGGACGGGGAATCGGTCGGGCTGGGTTGGGCAGAGACAAGGTTGGCCACGCGAGAAATGTCATTGGGCCGGGCCGACATCAATAGGAGTGAGTTGGAGAAGAATGGAACAGAGGTAGATAGTTGAATGTTGGAGAACATGGATCGGCTGGAGAGAAGCTAAACTACTGAACGGATCCATTTCGGGACCGGCACTGGTTAGCGAGTCCCGATGTCGAATCACATCGCAGCAAGCCAGCCTTAGAAGGCCATAGCATCCTGGATTATTAATGGCCCCGATTAATAATACAATGCTTAGCTGTCATCCATTCGGTGTAGGAGCGGAGATAACAAGGACATAACTAGTCTGGCAAAGGAGCTGTGACGTTATAATCAGCAGTCATGTAACATTTATTAAACCCCTCTCTGACCCCCGCATGTCTTTGTCTGTAAATCTCACCTGCTTCTTCGCAACACGCCATAACTTCGTATCTCATCTCATCACTCATCATGCAGAAAGCCCTCGTGATCACTGCGCCCGGTAGTCGCGACGTAGTGGAACGTCCTATCCCTACTGTGCCCGACGACTGCCTTCTTGTTAAAACAGCCAGTGTTGCTCTGAACCCTACCGACTGGAAAAGCGCCGACCGGAAACCTCCAGGACAAATCATTGGAAATGATTATTCCGGTGTCGTCGAAGAGGTCGGCAAGGGCGTCAAGAAAGCCTTCCGCAAGGGCGACCGTGTTTGCGGTTGGGTCCAAGGATGCAATTCCAACAACCCGGAGAGTGGCGCCTTTGCCGAATACTGTATCCCGAAAGCTGATCTTCAGATCGCCATCCCCGACCGGCTCAGCTTTGAAGAAGCTTCAACCCTCGGCTTGGGGACAATCACGGTGGGCCAGGGCTTGTATCAGAGTCTGAAGCTCGCACCACCAGACGCCCCACTAGCACAGCCTGAGCTGATTCTCATCTACGGTGGCTCCACGGCTACCGGTACCCTGGCCATTCAGTATGCCAAATTGTCTGGGTACACTGTGTTAACGACATGTTCCGCCCAGAACTTTGATCTTGTAAAGAGCCTGGGTGCAGATGCAGTGTTCGACTATAAAGATGCGAATGCAGTCCAAGCCATCAAGGATTACGCACAGGACAATCTGAAGCTGGTATTCGACACTGTTGCTGTTGAGTCTAGCGCTAAATTCTGTGGCGAAGTGATCTCTAGCAAGGGCGGCGATTATTCTGCCTTGCTGAAGGTGAACGTTCCCCGTGATGACGTCCGCAGTCTTTTCACCATAGGATACACTGCTTTTGGCGAGGATTTTGATTTTGGTGGTAGCATCATTCCGGCCAAGCCGGAGGATCGAGAGTTTGCGGGACAATTCATGAGCAAGGCAGCTACTTTCCTTGCAAAAGGAAAGGTCAAGCCTCACCCTGTCAAGCTGGGGCCACGGGGGCTTCAGGGAGTACTGGAGGGTCTGCAGGATATGAAGGATGGCAGGGTCAGTGGACAGAAGTTGGTGTACAACGTGGCCGACACACCATGAATCCATGAGTCCGGGTGTTACTGAGAAGACTGTGGTCAAATGTGGAGAGAATCTTGTACCTGAACCGCAGAGGAGCTTTTTAACAGCATTTTGTGAGATTATGCGTCCAGCATGACCGTTTTGACAATGGAGCATAATGAAATGACATTGATTCTTGATCCTTACATTATCTGTAGACCATTGTAGTTCGATGCGAATAGGACGAGTGAGGGACAAGATAAAGATGACGAAGAGGAAGAAGAGGTGGTGAGGGGCGGCCATAGAAACAAGGCAGTCAGGTGACACCCCTATGACCATCATGAGTTACATGAGAGAGACACCCTTAGAGCAAGCCAAATACTACTATGTGTAGGTAGCTGTGGTTATTTTATGTTAATTGCTATTTCTGACTAAGTGCGGTACGAGTCATATACATCGGGTCATTCTGGGGAGGATATGCAGTGGACAATCTAATCATTTGAACTCAAAGTAGTGTTTTAAAGACACAGTTACCTGAGTTAAGGACGAGCCTCGATACCATCATGATCCTTATGCCAGCAATACCCTGGATTGCGTTAGCAGAAATGGCTTCAGGGCAAATCGTGTCTTTTCTAATGATTGATGTCCACTCGGGCCGTACAATATCCGCCTTCCCGGCCCAACGGAGAGATCTCGAACAACTAATGCACTTGCGACGACTATAAGAGACACACGAGTTAGTACTATACTGCAGTGTATGCTATTCATGAAGCGCTGGTGGTATTGGTATAGCGCCCTTGACCCTTCATCTAGATCATTTGATTCACAGACGCACAGACAGCGCATGAGACCATCCGATCTTCCAACCATCGTGTCCAAGCTGCAGTGGCAGTGAAGCCAGATACGCAAGCAAGAATCAATGTGATTGAATGGCCAGGTTGAGAAGTAGAACACATCGGTCGGCCCGCTTGGATCGAAATTGCCTTTTCTACTGGGCATAAATGCGTCGTCTCGTCTTGTGCTTCGGCTAAGTACACTAGTGCGCTCTGTGCCTAGTCTGATGAAGTTCCTCGTGTGGACATGGAAACCCATTTTTGAATTCCCTATCAGAAGCCTTTCAATGTCCCCATATTTGTAATGCTTTTGTCTAGGTAATCTTTCTAGCATGGCGTTTAGCGGCCCCCGTTACCCAATATCCCGGTTTTCTTCGGTCATCATGTTGTTAGTTATCAAGGGGTATGAAATGGCAAGTATCTGGAGGTGCGGAGGTTTGTGTGGTAGAAGTTAGAGTAGTTCTCCGCGTGATGCTGCATTAGGTTTCTCAATCTTATCTGACTCTCCCTAACAATCTCTGTTGTACTATGCCCTCACGCGAAATGGCTACGGAGGGCAATGGTGCGTGAAGCTATGCGAGCTTTCAGATTGTGTCCGTAGAGATATTTCTTAGGAACCCGAAATTGCGTTTTCGAATCTATACGTATGCTGAATCCCCCGTGGTTCTATGGTAATGAGGCACTCGGTCAAAACCCACCTTTTCCGACTATTGCCTGCACTAATGGTTGTTAAACACCATCATCGATGCTATAGAAGGAATCCATATCCGGTATAATCCCGGAAATGTTTTGAGACCGCGTGTCTCAATAGATTGAAGTTCCCATTTCAGCGTCTGGAATTTGTATTATCCAGAAAGCACAGTTCGACGCGTACGCTATGTCTCCGGTATTGCTTGCAGGTGCGAGACGTTTCTTTTTCTTAGGTTTGCAGACGTGTGGTCCTCAGTTTCTGTATATGTTCAGTATATGCATGAATTATATATGGGGGGACTTCCCTGAGGGGTCACAGTGGCAGACACGGCATCTTGCTATAGTATTGTTAGCATATGTACTGTATATGTGGAGAATGTACTTACACGATGAAAACTTTCTCCAAACTTCTTTTTTAATCTCTTATCAATGGACCTGTTTCCTCTTAGCTTGGTAAATGCAGGGTATATGCGAGGTATAATAACTCACGCCAACATTTCACACGCGTCAGCGTACCGCCAGATGGGCGAATTGTGCGAAATCTTGTTCCTGCATATGTTAGACATATCTCTCTCAAATATAAGCTCAGCATATGTGAAACATATACTTTGGTTCGTGTAAGTATCTCGCCTGTTGCCAACCGCGGTACAACACCCAGTGCTTCAGAGCGCTGTATCTGTTAACATATGCTAAACTGATGCGTAGATCTAACTTACTTTTCGCCCGCGATCTTTTCTTCGAAGCCAGTATTGGCTTTCGAGGGGTTCTCCACTGTACATTATTAGCATGTGCAGAGTATATGCTGACTGAGTGACATACAGGCCCCAAGATGGCTTGTCGGATAAGCCGGCGTAGCTGTGATATGTTAGCATAGCTCTAAACATATAGGGTAGCGCCTTATAGCATAGGCGTGGAAAAGTTTACTTCATCTTTCGTCCACCAGACATAACAAGTGCAGAAAAGTGTGTGCCACTTCAAGATATGTCATGATAGAGAGACTTCGGTTCACCTTCCTCTGGACAGGTCTCTGCACAACGGTTGGGCAGGACACTGCAGTATTCATATGTGTTCAAATTGCGGCCATGCCATACAAAGCAAAAATGACTGTTCTCCCATCAGTATATGCAAACTGTGCGCTCTTAGAAGACTTACCATCATTAATAAATTGCTCTTTTTTTATAGAAGACAGAAATAAGCGCCAGATACTTGATGAAGCATATGCCGAAAAAATACAGTCTGTTTTCCGGAATCGATACATTAATATCTGTATAAATTATATGTATAACTAATAATCTCTGTCAAGGCCTCAGAATATGCTGTGCTTGGTGCATTGGAGGTGAACGGCAAGCCATTAACAGGACATTTCCATGCCTTTTCGTTTTCTTTCCAAAACAAGACGATTTCCTAGGCATCCTGAGTGCAGATTCCACATCCCTCTGATGTTCTCATTCCGAGTCGCATATACTGCCAAACCGAGAGATTGCTGCAGCAAGATGACATGGTTTGCGCTTCAGCTTGAGATAATGAATTCTCAGGATGACATAAAGGGATATTAAGGATTACCGTATAGAAAATTGTCTGCTAGTAGACACAGGCTATGCCTCTCCTTCGACCACTGAAGACGACGGAATTGCAAGAACACCTAACCAGGAATAAGATATCTCAAGTATACTTATAATCAGGGAAAGATAGATTATGAGAGAATTACGAAAGAGGAAGATAGGAGACAAAGGCAGAGGAGGTATTTATAAAAAGAAAGATCAAAAGACAGGGAATGGCTCGAGTTGAGGAAGGCAGGTGGTTAATGTCATAATTGAAGCTTTTTGCCATGGTGAATATGAGATTCACCCCCTAGAACTTGGAGATGATGAAGTGAAATCAAACTAGAGACTTGCCATGCAGTATATTAGTAAACGGCTGTGACATGCCGGGTCTAAAGAATTGTAATCCGCCATATGAGTCTAAATAGCACCATACAAATATCTAGTTTTCGAGTCTATTGGGGCCGAAGTCGACGTTGTACTCATACTTGTCCTATCTCCCATCTTCTCTTATACTCATATATCGAGTTACCGCAGGCTTTTCAGAATTTCGGAGGTCTTAGATGTTGAGCCAAAGAAGCACCGCACCTGCTTTTGCTACACTACAAATTGATAGGCTTCCTCAGTCCTCCGCACGAGTGTTTCTATTGAGAAGTCCAGAGCCTATCACCAGCATACGTATACGATAGGTATTGAGTTGAGATAATCTTTTATAGTAGTTCCATATATTCATTGATCAACCATGAATGTATCTCCAATGCCTGAGATCTATTCCTCGAGTATCATCCATCTTCAATAGTCTAAACAGAACAAAAAACAACCTTGAACGAAAAAATCTCATCCAGCAACAGGCCTCCTCCTATCCCTCCGCATAGCAACCCATTCCTGCGACCCTGCGCTCCCATACTTCGTAAAGTCCAGCCCTGCCACCTGCAGATCCCGCCACCCATGCTTCCAATAAAGCGGATACCCATCCTTTGTAGCCTCCAAATACACTCGAGCATTTCTCGCATCAGCACGATCAATACCCCACTTCAACAATGCCGTCCCAACACCCTTGCCTTGAGCTTCCGGTAAAGTAGCGAGTAATTCCAACACTGCTCTAGTCAGTACATGGATACGGCCAATTCCTCAAGTTCTGCAATGAGAAATCTAAACGAGTATTAAACATACTGATATCCCCCTCCTCAAAATGTGCCCGCTGCAAATCAGCCAGAAGGTCCTTGAACGCTTGATAAGCCTCCATGTTGAGACCTTCTGGGTACGCTTTCCCATCGTCATGAGCAGCTAGTGCATCTAAGCCCTCGGAGGATAATTCTACAACGCTTGTTTCGTACTCCATCGGAAATACCCATCGAGAGTACCCAATAACCTTTCCCGAATAATCATCAACGGCTACCACAACATGCACTTGCGGCGATCTGAGCTTGTCTAGACAACGGGCTGTTTTGAGAGATAAAGTTCCGGGCACGTCGACGTTTGGGAACAACGCGGACCATGATGCCTGGTGGTTGAAGCTGACGACGTTAATGTTGGCAAGGTGGGGAGCATCTTGCTCGGTGGCATAGCGGATTGTGAATGGCATTTTTGGGGTGATTTTATTTTTTTTGGATAAGTTTTGTATGTAGGATTCTTGGCTCGGTGGGATACGAGGCTACTTATACGACTACGGGGTTAATTGCTTACATTGGGAGAGTGGAGCACAGGAGGATTGCCGACGTGAGTCAATGCGGGTGCGGATGAGTCTTTGTGGCTAATAATTGGTGAGATGGGGAGATATTTCCGTCGGGTGAGCCGGGGAGAAGCGCAAAGGCGGAGGCTAAAGTTAACGATTCGAAGTCGGGGACCAAGTAGGGCATGGTTGGTGTGGGGCAGAGTCTTCAGGCCCCGGCATATTATTTGTTGACAACGCCGAACTTTGGCTGTTATCGGTTCTTGATGGTTGTGAAAAGTCCTATTGTAAGATGGCATCGAAAGAATGTGATTGAGCTCAAAATCGAAGAATACAATCCACTATCCACTGTATCATGTTGCTGACTGACTTACATTGCTTATCTCGACATAACATTTCCCGTGATGGACATCCAGTAATTGTTACAGCTAAAATACATCGACTATTCCATTGAACTCTTTTTCCTTTGTACTAAGTGTAGGGATCTGTGAATTCCTCCCTATCATGCATGGCATATTTTATCTATACTAGGAAGCAACCAAGCTCAACCCCCAAAAGTTGCATTTTCTTTCTAGAGACTAAGACTCCACTATACCGTATGTTGGATACGATGAAAGAGATGAAGATAAAGTACAATGGCCGCATCCATATCGCACCACCAGTCAGAAGTCAGGTACCAATCCAGAGCCAAATCTCTAGCAGTAGTCGCTACGGTCCTTGCCGCCATCCTTGCAGCCACCACCGCAGTATGTGATGAAAGAGATATCGCCATTGTCGCCACCGTTGCAGTGGAAGAGGGATTCACGAATATGGGCATCGTCGGTCGGCTGGTGGGCAGCATCGAGGGCGCCATTGACCTGGGCCCCGTACTTGCCTATCAAGTGGACATTATTAGGGATGCGAAGACTGGATTGGGGAGGCAATTTTACATACCAATGTTCAAGAGGTTCCAACCACAGTAGTTCAGCCCAGTCTTGCAGTTCCTCGCGGCGGCAAAGGGAGCCAGGGCAGCAAGAAGAGCGAGAGGGAGAAGGGCGGTCTTGACCATGATGACGATAACGTATGAGTTTGAAGAGGATTGGGCCTTGTAAAATTATAATCACAGGTAGAGCGAGATATTATTTGATGAAGAATGCGATGAAGACTTAGGATGGAGGTGGATTCGTCTTCATTCTTATACCCCAAAGCTCTTCGACTTCAATGCTTATCAAGCGGTATGTTTCCATATTGATGAAGTAACGGAAACACAAGAGTCAATCGATACATTGTAGCACGCCTAGTTGGACGCCTGACGCTCTAGCTAACCGCCTATTAGATGCGTTGGGACAGGGGAACATTGTTAGTCCATCAGACCATCATGCAGGGTCCACCCGACATACGAGGATAATTTCTTTTTTCAGTGTAACCTACTAAGACATTGAATGTATTCAAACACACAATGGAGAGAAGTTCCCATGTTTGTTGGTTCAACACTAAATGGGCAAACGGCTTCAGTGGTCAGTATACAACCATTCCCTTCAGGTTCTCATGTTCGAAAAACATCATTTTTCGAAATCTCAAGTTGTGACCATGACCTTGGTACCATTCAGCAGTCACAGCAGCCTCACGCACCAAAGTCAGGCGCCTGTCTAGTTCCTGCCGTCAGCGACCCCAGCCCTATAAGCGTAGTAGCATTGACAAATACCCAAAGAGCCAATGAAAGTGGTGCTTGAGTGCTACCATCTGCAACCAGAAGCACCCCTATGCAGGGTTCATGCTTACTTAAATCAGGCCTCCCATCGTTGCTTATTATGTTACAATATGCAGGGACTGGTCTTGACAATCCGGATGAGAGGGGAAATGTCATAATCCACAGACCTTTAGCCCAGTTTTGCAAGGAAGTAGGGTAAACCTCGCGAGTAACTATCGCCGGCCCGAACCCATCTGTAAGGCAACCTGTCACGACAGGCCGATGCAGCAAGACGTTCAATGGACCAATGACACTCGAACCATCAGACCCTACGCCGGTGATCAGCGGCCATTGAGCAAATAAAACCCTCAAGCTAGCATCGAATCAGCCTTTCGTAGAGAATGCGTGTCTAGTGATTTCCCAGCTTACTGACCCCTTTCGTGCGGAGTTCATAGTTGCCTCAGGCAGCAATTCATGTCAGTTTCAGGCTCAAACCTAGATTTTCCACATAGAAGAGGTAATGGCCCCAGGGAGGAAAGGAGGCTTATTAACATCCACTGAGCTTTATTGTAGATGTCAATAAACTGCTGGTTTCAAATCAACTATTCATCAATTTCAAGATTCACCATTGCATACCAGTCAACGCATCGTAGGAGCATAGGGTGATTTCCCTTCCCCCGGGGTTCACAGAGACTTTGGAGTGGTGAACGAGATAGTATTCAAGGTAACAAGGGAATTTCTGCTCCCAAGTGAAGAGCACCTTCTGGAGGACGAAGAACTATATAAACGGCCTTCCAGCCCCATCTTCCTTACCTATGCGCGCGCTCTCTTCTATAATAGTATTTATGTTGACATTGACTTCTTAGCCTACATGGGATGACTAGAGCCCTATATAAACAGGACAACCTACTGGACCAATGGAGGATGTCTTTTTGCCAACGCAGACTGGCAATGGTATTGTATGTCTACATATACCCAGCCTTAAGATGATAACTTGCTCTACTTCTGCTCCAGTCACAAGAAGGATTAATATAGATATAACGGGCTTGATCGTTAACTTCGATGATACAAATAAACGAGCCAGACAACAACTACACACCTCACCATTCTGTGGTCTCATAGAAACAGTTGTTGACACAGCAAGCCAATATAGAGGAAACCCTCAAGAACTACTGTATAAGAGAATACATTTTCGATGTTAACGTCGGACTCTTATCCTCCCAACCGACTCTTTCTGTTACTCGATCCTGCCACAGACTGTTTATTCTACTCAGAG